CTTATGGACATTAAATATGCCATATATTCAGTTTATAATATTTCATTGATCTTAAGGTTACGGATTAGGCTGGTGGTAATGGTGGTAATGGAGGTAATGGTGGTGCCAATGACTTTCTATTTTCTGGATAACAACATCTCTATAAAGAATCCCAAGAAGTTTCACAACTTTTCATACAAATAAACAGTTTTCATTTCTTTTTGAATGAATTGTAAATGTTTTGATAACTATATTATATTCTTAAGAAAATCTGTTTATTATGTTTTTATTTATTAAATAAATCAGTATTTTATTCAACACAACATTGACCTCATTTGTGAACATTATTTCACTGAATTTTGTTAACATTTCATTTAAATAAAGAAATCCTATTTTCATCTATTATTCCAAATGTTTTAAAACATTTTTCTAAAAAAAATATCTTACTAGTTACAATATGTTAAATTTAGTAAATATTTCATACAAAAATCATAAATCATGAAGATTATCTAACTTGTTATGTTTCAAAATATGTTTTGTATGATTGCTATCTATAGAAAGTTGTGGATAATAAGGAAATATTGCAATTTATTGCGGTTGATAAATGCAAATTTTGATGACTTCAGACAAATAATGACAAACAAAATTCTATTAAATAGTCATATATAAAATTCAATAGTCTATAAATCATATGAATACTACTTTGATAAATAATTGTCAAGAATTTTGTCACAATTAATTCAGTGATAATATAACACACAAATAAATAATGTATTGTTTTCTAAGTCGAATGCATTTGGAAATTAGTAATATTAAAACAATTGACAATTAATTTATATTTTTCTAATCAGGATTTTAAGTCAAATTATAAATCTTTATAACTAAACACTTATTTAATGGTGCATTATATAAAAATTTAATTTAATAGTTGTGATTAACATTAATAAATTTTATAATCTATCAAATACTAGTACAATATTACATAAACTAAATAAACTTTATTTGCTAAAAGTAAACCATAATATCTACAATATCTCAATACAAAGGAATTTTCGCGAAAAGATGACAAATACAGAGAAATCCAAAAATAATTTATCAAACAATCAATAAAACAGTACAATAGAAAAGCCATAAATAATAATCAAACCATAAATTAAAACAATGCCAACAACAAACTCATGTAAATATAGTTTGCATATAAGTTGCCATAAGTTTGCATATAAGTTGTCATATATTTGTGGAAAGTTTTTCTAATTAAAGAATAATATTTTAAATTTTATTTTCGATATCTTTCTCAACTCATTCATCCATTGACTCATTAGCGATGATATCCTATCCATATATTAATAGATATATTGTTTGTATTTATTTTATATATGAAAAGGAAAAACAAGAGAATAGACTTTATATTTGAAGTAAGATCACAGTATGTGCTATTCAAGCGTTGAATATTTTTTAGCAAATTTGACACAAATAAGTATGTTTTACACCTCATTTTAAAGGGTCACTTAAGACAACATGGGAACAGTTCCGCCTTATTGTCATTTGCATGGATTCTTGTATAAAGAATAGCATAATTATATAATGGGTGAAAGTAGGCATAACTTACAATATATGATATATCTGTCGCTCAGAAGTCTTATATAAGAATCAATACATTCTCGACATCTCATTCATTCTGTCAATAACTCATGAGTCAAACGATTTCTTATGATAAAGACTTTAAATGAAATCCTATTTATTTAAGTGATTGTTAAGTTATGGCTAAGCAAATAGTGTATCTCTTATTCATTTGCCTTATTATTTACGAATTGTGTCCGCAATCAGTGAATGCAAGTAAAGTAAAATTATTCAAAACGTTAGTCAAAGCAAAGCTACTGAAAGGTATCGGCAAAGGGACCACAAAAATCATTATTCCCTTTGTTATACCAATTCCCGTGCCGTAAGTATTACTAATTTACTAATTATATACTACAGTAGTAATATTTTATATTTTATAATTTATAATAACAATAATCTTAATGATTAAAAGGAAAAAGTTTCCGATGTTTATGACCACAATGTCTACGATTCCGATAACGAATCCGTCAACATATCCAATGAGTTATGAAAATAGTATGAATAGTATGTTTGGCTTTGATAGCAATCGTTTCAACAATTTTAATAACATTGACTTCAATAGAAATAAGAATAGCGATCATTTAATGCTATTCCCACAGTCAATGGCTATCAACTAAATATGCCAATTATTTGACAGATTTATTTTTTATATTTTTATGAATTCCCTTAAATTTATTTACAAGCAAATGTTATTGTGAGTTAATTGTATGTTTTGTAAATTCGGATGTGTTTTGTGTGCAATACTGTAAAACTGTGTAAGTCATAAATTCATTCATTTTAAATGTGTTCATTATGTTGTATAAATTACCTCTCATACTGTTATTGAATTTGCTATAATTATTCATGATATTTATAATATTAATTAAATTAAATTAAATCTATTATCCCTTATCTAATATGATGTAACTTTAATATAAATATCAAGTGTTTTTAACCATATTTTAAACATCAGATTCTACCTTATGTTTAAGTAATAAATTATATGTTGATTAAAAAGTATAAATTATTTTATGTTATCTTATAAAATATTATTAAATACTAAACATTAAATAAATTTATTTTAATGTATTGTATTGTATTTATTGTATTGTATTGTATTGTATTGTGCTGTAATGAAATAGTGTTGTTTTTCAAAGAATAATTTGTAATTAAATTTAAAATAAATTCTATTATAATACTAAAAATGAGTTTAAAATTAAAAACATTAGACTTACAGTTACGATATGAGGTGTGTATTGAGTTTGAGGATTCATAACCACTTCAATGCCTAATCCCTGAGCTGTGATGTGATCGGAAGCGAAGAAATCACTGCCATATGTGTCGAGCAATGGTTTTATATTCTTTTCCATATTATTTCCTTCGAGTCCTCTGAGACTAGAATTGTATTTCAAACTCAACGCTTCAATCCCTTTAAAACACAAATTCATACATTTAGACATAACTGCAAATTCATGTAACTATTGATTACAACATACCAGTGCCGGAGTTATCGGTGTCGAGCGCTGTGTGAGAATTCCTACGATCGCTGACAAGTCTGAAGGCCTTCTTATAGCCGGACCAACTGAAACGACTGGACGACTCCTTCTTCAGATTAGTCGTAGACTTACTTATATTCAGATAATTTGGTTTAGTTTTGTATTTCATGAAATCGTTATCCAAGTCGGGTTCGGGTGGTGTCGAGTGTGTCCTCTCTCTTCCCGTAGACATCTTCTGGAGATCAGGTGATGAACCCCTTCGTGGCACAGGAATCGGCGGTACATTCAATGTGTTCGGAGACGACGACAAACCCAATCCATCCCTTTCTGTTATCTCGTTATCAGTGATCTGTGAAACAGTTATACAAAAGTTTTATACTTTTTATACGGTTTTATATTTATTGTATGTTTTTTAGTATTGAATTAAACAAAACACACAATAATTGGTTGGACACGAGTGCTGTCAGCGTTGTCGGAGTTGTTGAACAGTGATCTCACATCCGGACGCTGTTTACTATTAACGATTTGGACCACTTCTTGACCTCTTTTATTGTGTGCCTTTTGTTTGATGATTGTTGAGCGCAATGTATTAAATCTCTTTCGCACGGTATTTGTCTGCCTTTCGGTTAAGGCTATTGGCAATGAATTCCTCAGCAAATCATCCAAAGAAGTCGAAGTACTCGTCAGAGAATCGTCTATTGGTTTGCAATAAAAATAAATAAAAACAATAAAAATTAATAATCAATTGATTAATGATTTCGCGTTTTGTTAACATAAGCTACACAAGTTATATAATATTTATAAAACATATTTTAAGTGCATTTATAGCACTTTTATTGCTCCCATTAATTACATTAGAATAGATTTACCTAAACTTCTCGACCGTTTCGATAAACTATATTTTCCATTCATTCTTTGCATTTTAGATGTAACTTATTT